CTGTTTTGAAGGAAACCCCCACAAACTATATATCAATGGAAAGATTATAAAATGTAGAATTCGGTAAAATTATATTCTCTTTTGCCGACTGTTTTCCTAAGGCGGCAGAAGCCGTTAACGTCAAAATTACCGACTGTATTCCGGCGAATTAATGGGGTATCAAATGCGATAGCTGATGCAAAATAACTATGCAGTGCTAATCACAAAGCATCAATCTCTCAACGCATGTCAGCATTTTCTTTCATTTCTACTGGTTATCTTTTTATAGAACTATCATGTTCCAGTATCGAAAAATTCGCGTAACGTGTTTCGTTAGAGACCACCACGAGAAAAGTATTTGAAATAAAAGAATTCGCCGACACGTTTTTGTTCCGTATCTATCAGTGATTGTTCTGGCCAAATTTCAAGGAAAACCGTTGATTTTACATACCCTATTAGGGTCCTATTAATTCATTTAAAGAGGAGGGATTCTCGCGAAAAACGAGTGCAAGTTTTCGCCTTCCAAAGATTTACAATTATGTCACGCCTTCTCAGAGGGATATGTCAACTCAAAATGCTGCCAGCCAATGAAATAACAGAACCCCTAGCGTTCACAGTACGGAAAGTTGAGCTTCGCGGTAAAGCGATAGTGTTACAGTCACGTATTAGGCGCATACGTTTTAGGCTGGTGGTCAACAGTAAAGGGCAAAACGGAGAAAAGCGATGTGCAACAAAACAAAAAGAAACTGAGGAGCAATTGCCGAAGCGTGATTACAAAAATTCTTAAAAGGACTCTCGACGGACATGAAATCTCAAATTGAAAGTATTTGATATAGGATCTCTGGATGCTCCTCGTTCTCTGCTCCCCCTTTTTGTCCATTTAATCCCTCTTTAAACTTCCTAAAATTTCACTTAAACTCATGTATAACCCTGCCTTAAGCCGTTTGCCGTAAAAAGGTCGCTGAGGAGTCCATGTCTTTTGGGGATTGTGACACCTTGACGGTTTATTAACTGTTATTAAAAACCTCTTTTTCCCAATACCTCGCATGCGTTTTAATATTTTATTTTCATTTTTTGGAAAATGTTACCTTGAATAATGAACTTTAATTTGGTTGGAAAAAAGAAAATTTGGATAAAGTAGCCCCGCGAAGGTTTGGAACTAAATGATGAATTTCTTCACCCTTTCATATACTTCAGCTTGTGAAATCCCTTCCCTTCAATATACCTGAAGCTTGAAAAAAGTACCCATTTCGGGTGAAGCTTCCCTGTATAGACCATTTAGGGAGTACACCCTGGGGCCGGGGGACATTCAGCCTTTTCAGAGTATCATGCAGGCTAAACCAATTGCAAGATATGACCACAGACTCTTTTGACTGATAAGACAAGGAGCCTCGCTTGAGCTTATTTATTATTATCTTTCAGGAAAGCGAATTTTATTTTCTTTTTAGTGGTAGCTTTGGCGTTTAGCCAAGTCGGGACTTTTTGTGAAGGCCTACACGACCCTAAATGCAGCAGGAAGTGCAGTTGGCACAAACCGGAAGTTTCGTCTGCGTGACATAACAACATTGCTTCAAAGGAAACACGTGGTTTTCTCACCTGAGTTTTGGATTTCCTCTAGGATGTGAGGGGTCAAGTTTGATTGCGTGCAAACTTTCTCTCAGTAGAGTTGAGGTCTCAAGGCCGAACAACATGGATTACGAAAACGAAGGCTGTCTTCATGAAATCTTTGAGCGGCAGATGAAGAATACTCCACCGACTGCAACAGCTGTTGTGTCCGGCGATGGCCGATCTGTTTCCTTCTCCGAGCTTGACGATCTCACCAACGTTTTGGCTACGAACCTCAGGCATAGAGGCGTCAAGAGGGACAGCGCTGTTGGAATATACCTCGAGCGATCGCTGGAATACCCTTTAGCTTACATATCGATTTTGAAAGCTGGTGGGGCCTACATGCCTTTAGAACTCTCCTATCCCGAAACTCTGCTTTATTCGATTCTTGAGGACGCAAAACCTGCGGCGATCATAACGAGTGAACATTTGAAAGAGAAACTTCCTAATTCGGTGGATTTGATTTTACTGAACGAGGGCTGGGACGAAAGACTTGAAATGGAGAACGCTTCGAAACCCGCTTTGGAAAAATTGAAGACAAAGCTCGATGACTTGGCATACATTGTTTATTCTTCAGGGACCACAGGAAAGCCAAAAGGTATGCGACTTTGTGTGACACTAAAGAGTGCAAAGTACAATTGAAGATAGCATTTGATATAAACACACAGAATAATATAAACAGCTGAAATTTCCTCTTAAAAATTAAATTGATATTTAATTTGAAAGTTAAACAGCTGTAAATAGTTAATGCGATGCGCAGATTTATAGAAAGAAAGGAAATATATTATACTCGCGCTTCGTAAATTTGAAAGCCCCGCATTTATAGAGCTTTTTATTGTTCAGTTTGAATATAATCCGCTGGATTTTTGAGACAATAAGAGTTTGACCTTTGTTGGTTTTATTCATGAATTTCAATATTAAGTTTCATCTCATCTGTCAGCGCAGATGTTTTTATTGCTTTTAGTACTGATTTACAAATAATAGTTGTTTAAAATTTAATGTTAAAACTAAGTATGCAAGTTCCTTTCTTCAATGTAAATGCTTTTAAATAATTTATTTTTTGTGTTTTCGTCAAAATGCTCATTTGAGGCATAGAGAGGTCTGGGAACAAGTCTTTCTCAGCCCGCCCTTTTCGGTCCTTTTAGTTTGGATTTTTTTTCTCAATACATAGTGTCAAGTATTGCAAGTCTTGCAAGTCTTGCAAGTTTACAATTACCAAGAGATGGAATGGAAGCTGATAACCTTCAGCAGTTGAAATCTAAACTCAAATAATTTATACTTAAATATTTAAATTATTGTACAATATATTAAGGATCATTGTTAATAATTTTTAATTTTAATTTTGATTTCATTGTACCTTTTCAAGGGAGTTTTCACATAGAGATAGCCTCTTAACTTCCTTTTCTAGACGCATCTTCTTTTTTTTTCTTATTTTTAGTTTCAATTGTTTATCTATTTTGCATGTAGAATAAATAAAGTATGTATGTTAAATTATGTACATGTATGTATGTCTACCAAAACTCTGAGCAGTTTCTAATTTATAACAACTACAACGTATACATCACTTGAATTATTTTTCAGGGATTTGTTGTCCTCATCGGGGTGCTGTCTTCTCATACACCTGGAGATTCCATAATTTTCCATTTCAACCTGATGACAGAGTGGCCTGTAATGTCTTCTTTGTATGGGAGCTGTTGCGACCTCTTCTGAAGGGAATCCCTCTATATGTCATTCCAGACACTGTTATTTATGACCCTTTGCTACTGCTGAAGTTCTTGAAGAAGCACGGAATAACACGAGTCCTTTTTACTCCATCTCTTTTAGGTAAAATATGATCAGTAGATGATAAGTAGTGGTAAAAATTAGACCAAGTAGAGTGCATCTAAGGGAGTAATCGGGCGAGTAATTTCAAAGATGAGTGCATATCAGCAGCTGATTTGAAAGTATTACAAGCATGATTACTCTCTGAATTGCAATTACTAATTAATCTTATTAATAACAAATTTCGGGATTCAAAGACAGTGGC